CAAAATAGTTGAGAAAAACATTGTTAAAGATAAAAATTATTTTCTTTAACATTGACATAATGCACATTTGGAAATACTTTTATAGGACTTAAATGATCTCGCGATACTACAATTTAGATGTGAATACGATAACCTATTGTTACACAAAAACATTTAAGCTATTTTGTTTGTATTATCGTTATACAGATTATTTTAAATAATATTTTCCTTGATTATATCTCATGTTACGGTATGGTGAAACCAAAGAAAAATAACAAGGAAAAAGACTTTTTAGACCCATCTTCATAACAATAGAGACACCTGGCTATGTTTAGTTTTTTTTCTGATACACGGTAGTAAATAACTTTTTTATGAATCATTTAAGCCAGTGTAAAATCTAGACTGTGCAATTTCTCTTACATTCAATACATGTACTTGATGTTACTTTCATAACTATAGATAAAGACAATTTTTAAGTAGTACAATCCCTGGTAATAGCAAAGAGCTATCTTTGATATAAGTCTCGACCAAAGACCTGACATACTCAAAATAAGCCAAGGTACGCTCCAGTAAAGCATATTTTCCTTGATTATATCTCACGTTAAGTTATAGTGAAACAAAAGAGAATAACAAAGAAAAAACTAAACTTGTTACAAAAGGAAATAAAACCCATCTTTTTTACAAGAGAGACACTTGGCTATGTTTTGTTTTTGTAAAAGCAAATTTTTTTTAACTATTTCAAACAGTGTACACGTTAGACTACGTGTTATTTCTATTACATTCAATTTATGTACTATTTTCATAACTATAGATAAAGACAATGGTAGTACAATTAGCTTAAATATCCCCTAAATCCTTAGTTAGTGCACATAGCTATATTTGATATATAAGTCTCTGGCGATCCTTCGGCCAAAAACCGGCACTCGGCGTACACTCATAATAAGCAGAGGTACGCCCCTGCCTTGTTTTATGAAATTCGCTATTTTAAAGTAGATTATTTTGTTATTTTGACAGTTTATTGTTACAAGCCTCGCCCTTTCTAGCCCATATCAGCCTTGCCTGATAAAATTGATATCAAAAGACAGTAGCAAGTTATTCTCTATTTAACGACTTCCCCGTTCTTAGGCTTTGCCTAATTTCATATTATTTTTTGAAAATAAATATGAAATATAAATATGAAAGTGGGCGGAGTCAAAACTCATATTTATTTTAAGGGACTTCTTTCGCCATTTTGTTTGAAAAATCTGAGAAATACAAAAAAACTTTTTGTTGAATTTTGCTTTGAAAACTATCTAGAATAATAATATCTGTCATATGTTGCGGTTCGGACCGGAATATCCGTCCCGAGGGGACCCGCCCATTGGGCGGTAACGAGGCTTGCCGTGTTACCGCCCATGGGCGGGTCCCCGAGGGACGGATATTCCGACCCGAACCGCAAACATGTTAGATATTTTTTCTTGCATATTCTGCCATATTATTTCATATTTAAAATGGTTTACCTCAATATGATATATTTTCATGGAAATTAAAGTCATTTCATCAATAACTATTTTCTAACAATAGCGTATGAACTTACAACTTAAATAACAACGGCGAAATGACGTCATCCTTAGCACATATTTCCCTTCTAAAACTACGTCATTTTAACGCGGTTCATTCATAAAGCGCGCTAAAATGACGTTGTTGTTTGGCACGCGACTCATCTGGCTCCCCCCATGCCAGATGAAATTTCCGGCATGGGTAAAACTCACGGAAACGCCAGTCTGATATGCAAGAATGATAGAAAATGGTCTATCTTAGAAAATAAATCCGAACACCAATATCTTTAATTCAGTTATTAACGCTATACAGACGTTTAAACAGTTGTTTACGTGACGTCACAAGGTAGCGCCAAATATCGCGTGCAAGACAAGACGTAATAATATATTGCTGCGCGCTGCAATAATAATATCTGTCATATGTTGCGGTTCGGACCGGAATATCCGTCCCGAGGGGACCCGCCCATTGGGCGGTAACGAGGCTTGCCGACTTACCGCCCATGGGCGGGTTCCCGAGGGACGGATATTCAGGTCCGAACCGCAAACATACACTTAACAAAAGTTCTAACCGATCATTTTTTAAATTTTGACTATTTTACAACGGGTCAATAGATCCTTATTAAATTTTGCAGTTGTGATTTTTGTGTCATTTTCTACCGATTTGTGGAATGAAAAATAATTTAATACGGTTCAATGCACTCACGCGGGAGGCAGGGAGCGGTTTACACATTTGGGCACGAAATTTTTGTGCAGAGCGTGGTGAGTATTAAATTTTATATTGCATAAATCCTTGTTAACTTTACAAGTGAAAAAACATAAAATATGGCACGAATGATGATGTAAGATCGTGCCGTAGCAGTTGGTATGTTGAATGCTGGAGTCTCTATCAGACAAGTGAGTGGTTGTTCATAAAAATATTTTTTTTTAAATATCGATAAAGTATTATTTAAGTAGAAAAAGTTCATAATTTTATTATTCTCAATGTGTTCATTCTCTTCGAAATAAAATAAATGTCGGATCTATTGATAAATTTCTTTTTCATAAAAGCGAACACTCAGGGTGATCGGTTAGAACTTTTGTTCAGTGTATGTCAGATATTTTTTCTTGCATATTCTGCCATATTATTTCATATTTAAAATGGTTTACCTCAATATGATATATGTTCATGGAAATTAAAGTCATTTCATCCCTAACTATTTTCTTAAAATAACGTATGAACTTACAACTTTAATAACAACGGCGAAATGACGTCATCCTAAGCACATATTTCCCTTCTAAAACGACGTCATTTTACCGCGGTTCATTCATAAAGTGCGCTAAAATGACGTTGTTGTTTGGCACACGACTCATCTGGCACCCCCCATGCCAGATGAAATTTCCGGCATGGGTAAAACTCACGGAAACGCCAGTCTGCTATGCAAGAATAATAATATCTGTCATATGTTGCGGTTCGGACCGGAATATCCGTCTCGAGGGGACCCGCCCATTGGGCGGCAACGAGGCTTGCCGAGTTACCGCCCATGGGCGGGTTCCCGAGGGACGGATATTCCGATCCGAACCGCAAACATATGTTAGATATTTTTTCTTGCATTTTCTGCCATATTATTTCATATATAAAATGGTTTACCTCAATATGATATATATGTTCATGGAAATTAAAGTCATTTCATCCATTACTATTTTCTTACAATAGCGTATAAACTTACAACTTAAATAACAACAGTGAAATGACGTCATCATAAGCACATATTTCCTTTCTAAAACGACGTCATTTTAACGCGGTTCATTCATAAAGTGCGCTAAAATGACGTTGTTGTTTGGCACGCGACTCGTCTGGCACCCCCCATGCCAGGTTAAATTTCCGGCATGGGTAAAACTCACGGAAACGCCAGTCCGCCATGCAAGAAAATTGCAGTTGCGTAGCAAGCAATAGGTTTCCTAACCATTTTTCTTTGATAATGAAATTAAATAAAAAGGTTATTTTTCGTTTTTCGTGAAATATGGTATACATTTTCACTCAACATGATAAAATGCCACATAGTTTCAATCGCCGTCCCGGCTCGTGAAAATATGTGGCATTTTATCATGTTTCGTGAAAATATATTCCATATTTCACTCAAACGAAAAAATACCCTCTTACTATATAAACTTTTATCACACACCCGTGCCGATTTTGCGACTCCGTAAATATGGTATTGCACGGCCGTGCATATATTTTGACGTGACGTCATTAGCGTTATACAAACATAGTGTAAAGACGCGCTAAATGTTAGCGTTATACTATAGTCGCGACAATGAAAAATGACTCTTATTTCACTTTAAACGGTCTTTGTTTTGGGTTATGCGATAAATAGAATATTAAATTCGTGTAATTTCAATACTGAATTTATTGCACTCGTTGAATAAAATAATATTATGCTCGCCAGAGGCTCGCATAATATAATTTTATTCAACTCGTGCAATAAATTCAGTATTGAACTTACACTCATTCAATATCCTCTATATATATAATAGATTAATAACTACAAGTAGCTGTCACCATAGTGAGGTTTATGAAGGTTTATAAGTTAAGGAGGAGTGTTCTGTGGACGGCATCGTACGCACAGCACTCGAAAAAGAAATGTTGGGTAGTTTCAATTTGCCCACAATTACACAAAGGGGTAAGAGAAAGGTTTTTTTAAAAACAGGCGGTGATTTAATGCGCTGCAGTTCGTTCGAAGCCGAGTGTGAAGGACCTGTAGTTTACGACTACCTGTATTTTGGTGTATATTTTCTGTCCTTGTTTAAGACAGTTTTAAATGACGATATTGTAGGGCTGTTTCTTATTATAACAGGCAAGTTGTTCCAATCACGAATAACTAATGGCAAGAAGAGTAGTCCTTGATGTAATTCCTCTGATATCTTCAGAGTTTCGTAAGCTGTATCGGGATTGATCTGGATTTGGTATTAATGATGAGAGATAATCTGGAGTTTTGTTCGACTGCATATTGTAAAACATAATTTCTTTTGAACTTATTAAAAATAATTTTAATAAATATTATTCTCCTCGAATGACGTCACGGAATGGAGTCGGCGACAAACTCAGATCGCGGGAAATAATCAGAAAATGTTGAATTATTCATCCACAGCTATACGCGATTTTAAAAAGTTATCGTTGGTATTTGATGCATTTATGTATTGTTTATCGAAATGGCCCGTTAGATTATTTTGATTGTTCGGCGTAAATTATGTTGGGGTGGGGAAAAGGCGTTTCATTCCTTGTTTTTATTTAAACTGTATAGGGGACATATTTTGGATATAATCATTAATATTGAAAGAATTTCAAGTTCCTGTGTACGTACTGAATTCACCAACATTATATTCTCCTTTATCTGCTAAAGATGGTATAAACATCAAATAACACGCGTCAGTAATTTTTGTGATTTAGCGTTTATGATCCATAAAATATTTTACATATATATGTACTAGCAATCGTTTTTTCAGGAATAATGATTGATCATAAGATAAGAGATTGCACTGGTATAGAGGCAAAAGTGTCGTTCCCTAACATTGATTATGCCTTCTTTGGATATGACATTTATCGGGGCTTTCCGCTGGCAGACTCACGTGACCCAGGGTTTACTCATCCTATTTTCAAATCTGACTATTCTAATATGCAGCAAACGGCAGACTGTAGATTTGCTTTACCTAATGGATATATCGCAGTTGCTAGTGTCTCATGTGTAACCTCGTTTTCCTCAACGGTGCTGGAAACTAGGAAAGAATTACAAGATGTTTTATCGACAATGACAGAAGTTAGTGTAGGTTATAAGGCTTTTGCGTTTTCTTCAAGTTTTGGATATAGAAAAATGACCTCTACATTGGAGAGAAAGAAGTCCGTTTACATAATATCTTCGGCTACTTGTGACTATTACTTTGTGAAGCTGCGCAAACAAATGCCACCATCATTTGATGATGATTTCCTCATTTGGCTGAGCAAACTTGATGCTTCTGACTCTATTACAACATACATTGAGTTTATGGATAGGTTCGGTACACACTTTTTATCAGAGGTCACGTTTGGTGCCAGATTTTCAAATGAGTATGAAATGTCTTTAAGCGACTACCAGTCTATTAAGGAGACTCAATACAGTGCTAGTGCCCGTGCATCTTTTACTGGTAAGGTAAGTATTGGTGCTGGGTTTAGTTTAGAAACAAGTCAGCGACAAGCTGCACAAGAGTTCTCGGAGAGAGTAGAAACCCACACCAAAACTGTTGGAGCAGCCCCGCCTTCAAATGGAGACGCACTAACTTGGGCTTCCGAGGTGAAAGATAACCCTGTTCCTTCTAAAATTATCTTAAAAGATATTGAGGATCTGTTTGTACCAGAATATGTTGCTTCACTTGGAATTGATTATGAAACAATTCGGTTTAACATCATTAAGTATAAGGAGGATTACAGACGATACAGAGCAGAAAACAATCCAGAGCTTTCATTTCCTGATCCATATAATAAAACAGGTAAATTGCTTATAAAATGATTATCTTATTACTTGTATATGTTTTATCACAATTATTTTAATGTGCTCATTTTAAAAGTTTTTTTCGGCAAAAAATAGGCTAAATGACTGACCTTAATCTTGCGTTCAGTTATAAAACTAATCACCAGAAGTTAATGCATTCCATATTTGACATAACTGTACTTATTTTACCCCTAGGGGCGTCCCTGGCCGAGTGGTTTAGGTCGTTTACCTTACCGTTGTGGGTGAGAAATCCGACAGGGACTTTGAATTCTTTCATGTGAGGAAGCTATCCAGCTAGCTTTCGGAACGTCGGCGGTTCTTCTCAGATACCCGTTCGTGCCTGAAATAATGCTCGGAAGGGCATTTGAAGTCGTATGGCCTATGCTATGTCTTTGTGACGTAAAACCCAAACAAACCAAATCAGTTTTGTTAATCTAAGCGATTCCACATTTACCAGGACCAGCATGAATCCAGACTAGCCTGCGCATCCGCGCAGTCTGATCAGGATCCATGCTGTTCGCTATCAGTTTCTCTACTTCTTATAGGGTTTATAAGCGAACAGCATGGATCCTGATCAGACTGCGCGGATGCGCAGGCTGGTCTGGATCCATGCTGGTCGCAAACCCATTATGTTGGTTTTGTCGTGGCGCGGCTCAATTTTCATGAACTGATTTATTACATCTATCGTACATATTGCGTAAGTGAAATTTAGACAGTTTGAAAACCTACATTTTACTATGAGAACAAATACTGTAACATGTGTTGTACCATGTACTTAAGATGGTTAAGCTTTGAACATTTTTGTTAAAAATGTAATTACTTTCTTCTAACAAATAATTGACAGTGATGTGGAACGTGAACAAGACTCTGAGAGTTGAAGGCGGTTCTTACGGTGAATGGGGACATGCTGAATTCTGCCCAGACAGACAATATGCCATAGGTTATAATCTAAAAGTAAGTCGCAGAAATAAAAGCGTAAATGAGCCAGGTATAATATGATTGTGTAACTAGATAAACAACTTATAATAATAACAACAACAACTTTATTAAAGGGACTCCGCTTAGGATTTTGGACATGACTGGACTAAAATTAATTTTCGAGATTAATATTTCATTGGATGATGGTCTAGACACTAATAACTTGTGTGCAAAATTTCAGATCATTCGCTTAATTACTCCGTTTTTCCAAAATAGTTATTTTAATCGTGAAAAATGACCCAAAATTGAAAAGCGTTTCTCTCAAATCGTGCTAAGAATAGCACAAACACACGATTTTCAATTTATTTCTTAGCATATTTCTTAATTATCTTTTGCATATGTTATTGCTGTAAGTGTCCCAGCTTATCTATATAAGAAACTAAAACTTTATGTTTTACCTCAGTGGAGTTCCTTTAAGCGACGAAACATTCTAGAAACGATCTGGTTGTTAAGTAATAGAAAGAGCACCGAAACACGAGGCTATCTGATTTGTACGAGGGGGCGTAGCCCCCGAGTATTACTCAGATTGCCGAGTGTTTTGGTGTTCTTTCTCTTTTGTATCATAGTCAAACATAAAAGCACGTTCCCTATTGTCACAATATGAAACCCCGGCAAAAATGAACCAATGAACAAACATCTAAATATGACATTTCTGTCGCTTTCCCTTTCTCTGCCGTCACAATATGTAAACCCCAGCAAAAATGAGTCAATCAATGGGCATGCTCTGGAGTGCGGGTAACTAATACCCGCACTCCAGTTAACGCACTGTGCATGTATATGTATACGATTTAACCCTGACACATTTTCAACAGAAAGGTCTCCAAACTATGATACAATAAACGGTTATTTTGTTACTTTGTTTTTGACCACGTGAAATTACGAGTACATATATGTGATATAAGTGTAGTCATGTTATTTATTATTAATGTTTTGCAGATCGAACCAAATCAAGGCAACGCAGATGACACTGGACTTAATGCTATAAGATTGATCTGTGCCGACAGGTTCGGAAAACCCACCGGATTGACAATTACGTCGTGGGAGAGCAAATGGGGCTCCTACAGAAGAGATAAATTGTGTCCTAAAGCTGGACAAACTGCCACTTTCCTAACTCGATTTCGTCTTCAAATGGTATAAGAGTTAAAAAAAAGCTCATTTCTATAAAAATAACTTTGTACATATAGCATTATTTAGCATATTCATTTAATTTCATTTCATGACACTGCATCTCAAAACACAGCGAAGCAAAATACTAAAGGATTGTTATTCAAATCGAAGCTTATGTGATTAACTACTTGATATATTTGAAATATTTCTACAATTTGGTCCTTTTAGCGACATTTTCTTCATACGCATTGCATGTTCTGGGTATACAAGAACACACAACGGAAACAATATCTCGACAAAGACTGCCTTAAAATTCAATACAAAATGAGTAGATTTACAAGTCAGAAGGATAGAATCGCATTTTGATTTTCTTAAAAAAATTGAATTTGATATAAAAGTTTTAAAACTGTGATTGACCTGTTATCTCCGTCACATTTGTTGTTATATCTGGCATCAGAGTAAATTCACATACACTCATATTTTTACCGATGCTTAATTTTGAGATTCAAATGGGGCTCCAAACCCTGTGTTTATGTTAAAGACAGGATACTGTAAGAAATTTCCATTGCAGAATTTCGCAGATTATATGCAGATTGTGTTTAAAATTAATTTAATTATTTCTTCACATTTTATACTCTCTTAAAATCAAATTTTCATATATCTATATGTATATACTAGTACACATGTAATTTTGATCTCTTTTACTACTTACAGCATGATATTGATATTGGCGCATCGTTTGCCACATTTAAATGTCAAGATATAATGAAAACCACCAAGGAGATACCGCTAGAGATATTTCCTGGTAAGGGTGAGCCTTGGGGGGAATATTGGGAGGAGAGTGAAAGTTGCTCGCCTGGATCGGCTATATGTGGTTTGTACAGTTAGATCTTTTTGTCAATGTATTATCGAAACCGTTACGTATTTAAAAAAAACACACAGGCGGTCATTCGAAAGTATGTTAAGTAAAGTTATATAGAAAACTATTAAATACGAATGGTTCGTAAATTTTCATAGAGTTCTTTTGTTTTATAAAGACCAACCACTGTTACGTTTTAATTACATGTAAGCATCATGTGAAGCCTGAAGTTACATTGGATATTCAATCGTCAAAATGTGACAAAATGACACAGTAGCCCGGTGCAAAAAGATAGTAATAGTATAGCATTTCTCCTAACAAAACTTACCAGTATGAGACAGTTCGTGAAGTATGAAATCTGTCGTTTAAAAATATACAGCATGACAAAGTCTGTCATGACAAATAACAGCAAATAAGTTATATGAGCCGCGCCATGGCAAAACCAACATAATGAGTTTGCGACCAGCATGGATCCAGACCGGTCTGGATCCATGCTGTTCGCTATCAGTTTCTCTACTTGTTATACGGTTTGCTGGTCGCAAACCCATTATGTTGGTTTTGTCATGGCGCGGCTCAATTATTAGGACAGTAAGAGTCTGAGAGTCAAGAACAGAACAGAACAATGTGAAATTAATAATTTAAGACTAGATGGTAAGATTGTCTGTCACAATAATACGAAATTGATTCTCAGCAAAAATAATAATATGAGAAGGTCCATCAATACAAAAGGTAATACATAATGCTAAATAAAATGTTGACAAATTTGGAAATTATGACAAAACTTGTCCATAAAAATAGGGAAAAATGGGACAACTAGACCGCAGCAAATAATCACTTTCAATTCTGAACAATATAAGTCTATCAGTTTAATACACAAAATGATCAGTGAATTAAAGACAGACTGTCAGTGATGGGCTTACTTGTATTGTATATATTTAATAACCTTATACACGTAAACATGATTTTTTTAAATGTATTAATTTAGGTATGAGAACGAAAGTAGAAGAGCCACAAGGTAAAGATGATGACAGTGCATTGAATAATGTAAAATTCTTCTGCTGTGCTCTCGACATTACAAAATAAGAAGGATGTTTTATAAGAACATAAGTTCATATACGACTAAATACAATAAACAGCTGTTGTGATATGATTAAAAAAGAACTTTTTATGATAAACAATACAGAATGGTTGCTAGATGATACGTGTAAATACAATTTTAAACTTATCTAGACATTTTAAAATGTTGAAACTGGAATTTTTTAATTGTAATTATTCTTTTTTACTTCTATGTTATGTTATTCAATTTACTTTGTAAATCTGTCATTTATCATTTAGCACAAATGAGCCGCGTCACGACAAAACCAACATAGTGCGTTTGCGACCAGCATGAATCCAGATCAGCCTGCGCATCCGCGCAGTCTGATCAGGATCCATGCTGTTCGCTATCAGTTTCTCTATTTGTAATAGAGTTTGTTAGCGAACAGCATGGATCCTGATCAGACTGCGCGGATGCGCAGGCTGGTCTGGATCCATGCTGGTCGCAAACCCATTATGTTGGTTTTGTCGTGACACGGCTCAAATACCTTTCTTTGTTGATACACTGTAAATCATATGCTATTTTTCCAGGAACATTCTTTTCAGAAAGAGGAAATTGCTTTTTATATGCCCGAAAGAATTTCGAACATATTATGGTATACCCCCTGGCGTCCGTCCGTCCGTCTGTCTGTCTGTAGTTAGCAATTTGGTTTCCGGAGCATAACTTAAGTTCCATTTGGCCTACAATATTCAAACTTCATAGGATGATTGTCCATATTGTTAAGAAGACCCCTACTGATTTTTGGGTCACAAGGTCAAAGTCACTATTACCTTAAACCTAAAAACAGTTTCCTCTCAATAACATAAGTATTAATCAACCTACAGCTGTACAATTTTTTAGGATGAACAGCCATGTCCAATACATGACCCCTATTGATTTTTGGGTCACAAGGTCAAAGGTCAGGGTCACTATTACCTTAAAACTGAAAACGGTTTGTATTTTGTTCTATATGAATTATATTTATAGGATATATTTATATTGTTATCTTTTTAGACCGTTTTATTCATAATTAAATTATCATCGAAACTACGCCCAATATTGGTCTCTGTACTTACTGAGTACTAGAAATATTTCACCCCGTGACAGATGTATTATTAATACATTGTATATCTTTAAATATATAATTGTTGAAGTAACACGATAATTATATACAAACTAAAAAGAAATTTTAAAAAATGAAATGAAAAAAGTAAAGGCTATTAATTTGTGATTTTCCAATCATATACTAAAATTTGAAGCATTTGATATGTTAAAATGTATATCTTAAAAGTAACAGTTGTTTTATTTGTTCCAATGGTTTGTGTCATATGGCATTAATAATTTCTTGTTCATCGAAGTGTCTAAAAAGACGTTGCAAATTGACATAGCTTCGAAAGTAAATGTATATGTATTACAATGTCAGTGTATGGTATGGTAGAAACTTTTATTCATGTTTTATAGCATACATATATCTCGAACTGTATGGATACTCTCCCGAGATTGCAAGTAATAAATAAATTAGTGTAACTGTTATGTATTTGAATGTAGAATCTCTAAAGTTAAAAGAATAGCAAGCCACGTCATCTTGCTATGTAATAAGTAATTTACACATACATGTACATGTATATATCATGACAGCTTTTGAGAGTTGATTACCGAAGATTCTATTCTAAAGAATAATAAATATGAAGAAACATAAAAAGGCGCAAAATATACTTTAGTTTCAGTTACAGTTTTTCTTAAACTAAAGCATGTTATATGCAACTGGTTATAATAAGCTTTATACGAAATCTCGTATTTCATAAATGCAGTTTATTAGAAAGAGAGACAACCCTGGTATGTCATTAAGTTTTCATATTTTATACTATTCATCTCCCTTCAAAAGTCAGGTTATGTTTTTAAAATTTTGTTTTGAGTTTAGTTTAGTTTAAAAACTTATAATTTTTGAATGCATGTTTTAGATTGTTTGTGAATATCATGTTTATGTTCACGTCATATTCAAAGTTTTGAAATGCTTATATTATAAGCAGTCATTCATGATTTTCTCTTTTTCCATCCGATGCAAATGGTTTTTTGTAGAACAAAATGGCTACCATAATGCAATAATCTGACATATCGTTATTCAATTTTCTTTGTTTCGAATGACTTATTTTTATGTATAATTGCTACTTTGATTATATCTGATAAACATATTAAGCTTCCGATATCCGGAGCAATTGAATTTATGTCACTTCCGACTGTCCGGAGTAAAATCAGCCATATGGGCTTTAGACAGATATAATATTTTAATCTATATACATGTAATTGTCAATCTTATACTACATGTATTTCCAATTATCTGGAATATTTAATGTTATTATATAGCGATAGACAAAAAACTGCCAAACCTAATTAACCCCAGTAAAACGTTATCAATCTAAGAAAGAATTGTTTTTTATTGTTCCCTCTGCTAATAATACACAAATGAACAGAAAATAACAGTTAAAAAATCAAATAATATCAATAAGAGAATACAGTTATGACAAGCTAAATAATGAAAAAGGAGACCATATCGTTCGTTTCAACTACTGAATTCAATACTGTAACAAGTGGAAATGAAGATCTAAATTTTTACATAATGTTTAAACAAAATAAAGTTAGTAAGATAGTTTTAGTATTTTTTTATGACAACTTTTCATTAATCTGTCAAGTTTAAAACTATTGGGATGAATATGAAACTGGGAAGAAGAGATTTACGTCTAATGTCATTAAAGTACGACCATTCAATTTATCACCAATAGCTTGATACGGACATAAGGAACAGAACTTATTATCATGATCAATTGCCAAATGTCTGCCTTTTTCAATTGGTAATAGGTGATTCATTGTTCTAAATTTACATAATATTTTGCCTATGTCAAATGGAAGTACATCTAGATATTTTTCAAAACAATGAGTATTTTTATATGTATATGTACGATACACTAAGCACTTAATAGATATTGTTACAATTTCTAAAGTTAGCTATCTAAACATAAAATTTATTCTAATTTTTACTACAAGGTCAAGTTCTTTGATTCTTATCACACGTAATTAAACTGTGACTGTTTTCTAACTCGTAAAGATCCGTCAATTATCAACGGACAGTTTGTATCAACCCTGCCTTCACTACTGGTCGGAGAGATAACTCAGACGCATAGATAACCCCGACACTTGATAAATATAATTGTTATAATATTGTTATTCAACAAACAAGCACATGGTCACCTGAAAGTATAGGAGCAGGACAGAATGGGATGATTTTTTATAATTTGGTAAACTTTTTAATGTTTTTCAAATAACCTAAACTTTTCATAGGCAGAACTGCTTCAAAACGTTCTTTTTACTAAATTACAATACAGTAAGGTAGTTAGAATTGTATTGACCACAGGCCACTGGCTTGGGAAAGTTTTTTGAAAAATTGTTTAAATATTCGCAAAAACAAGATAAAACATATAAAATGTAAAAATAAATTATTGATGCAGATTTTCCAATCATTTTTTACTTAAAAAATTAAGTGTCGACTTTATCTACTGTTGTGGGGTAAAAAGACCATGTTTTGTATACTTCTTTCAGAAACTTAAAGAAGTACCATATTCCATTTTCATACAGACTTTTTGTAGTATAATGTCATGTCTTTGAACTGAACTTTGTTTAGGTGGTTCAATATTTAAAATATACAGGAAGATAATTAAGATATTGCAAAAAATATGTGATTTAGTGTCGGAGTTATCTCTCCAACCAGTATTGTTCCTCCGGCAGTGATGTAACTTTTGTCTGCTGTCACTATTGTCCTTCCGGCAGTGATGTGACTTTTTCCTAGCACTATAAAAAGGCCGGGGAATCCATTTTGGGTTTTTTCTTCTTTTCGGGAATCGGATATGGGAAGCTTTCAGAAATATAAACTTTAAACTTAGAAAAATGGAAATTTAATGGTATGAAAGTTTTGACTGTTTCCTCCAACATGAAAATAATGTATAATAATTTGTGTATAATTGCATTTATCTTGTATATAATCTGAAATAAAAAGTAGCTTAGAAGAAAAATGATTTATTTATTGTGTTACGCTACAAATAGTGTAAATAGAAACTGCTCAAATGTTGAGCTGGTGGCAACAAATTCTATATGACCAGTTTTATAAAGGTCTAATAAGAGTTACACAGGTGGCAAGCGGTGGGATTTTGTGGACTTTAACATGCTTTCAAAGAGGTGGTGGAATAAATATGTACTGTGTTTTTGTGACAAATTATAATTCTGGTGGAAAATAAATGGGATTTTCATAAGTGGGAAGAAAAAACAATTCAAAAATGAGCGATCCAAAAGGGAATATTAATTCATTTGCAGAAATTTATAGAAACAGTCCACCTCCAAGAAAACAGTACCCCAGGAAATTAACCAAGCCTCTAGCATCACGCTATCCCACTGTTATGATGTACCGCTGTCCCACTTTCATGTTGTCCCGCTGCCATGCTGTCCCACTGTCATACTGTCCCGCTGTTATGCTGTCCCGCTGTCATGCTGTCATACTGTCCCGCTGTCAAACTGTCGCGCTATCCCACTGTCCTGCTTTGACACTATCCCACTGCCACGCTGTCCCGCTGTTATGCTGTCCCGCTGTCATGCTGTCATACTGTCCCGCTGTCAAACTGTCGCGCTATCCCACTGTCCTGCTTTGACACTATCCCACTGCCACGCTGTCCCGCTGTTATGCTGTCCCGCTGTTATGCTGTCATACTGTCCGCTGTCAAACTGTCGCGCTATCCCACTGTCCTGCTTTGACACTATCCCACTGCCACGCTGTACCGCTGTTATGCTGTCCCGCTGTTATGCTGTCATACTGTCCTGCGGTCAAACTGTCGCGCTATCCCACTGTCCTGCTTTGACACTATCCCACTGCCACGCTGTCCCGCTGTTATGCTGTCCCGCTGTTATGCTGTCATACTGTCCCGCTATCCCACTGTCCTGCTTTGACGCTATCCCACTGCCTCGCTGTTCCGCTGTTGGTCCATAGACTGACATAACAGTGGAATGTGGGAGCAACCATTTCTAGTTACATAATAAAAATTAACTCTAAAAACAATTTATCAGACTCATTGTCTGTGAGAAAATCAAGTTTCGTTTGCAAGAATCTTTTATTATCAACACTATCTTTATTACTTATTTATTTCTTTCAAACGTAATTATTATAAGAGAAATACATGCGCATTTTTATTTATTTCATTGTATCATTTTGTTCTACCTGATTTATATTTAACCGTGGCTATGCTTGCCGTCTGCCGCGTTATTCTTTAGTATTATCTCCATATGGTCTATATGTTCTTAATTTATTTTTCCACAAATTTTCTATTGTTTTTCCGTATTAGTCATTTCCGTATAGTTTTTTTTCAGCCCCATTATTGAAAAATCATTAGCTGTGTACAACTTATCTCCTGCTTCACCAACATAAATGTAACGTTCGCAACGCTTACAATAGATTGTATTCACCACATTAGTAGATTTTGCGTACCTTGTATGAGGCCCCGTTCACACCAATAAATGTGTCTGCTTCAATTACGTATTGACAAATCGAACACATTATAGTTTCTGAGCAGAATATTATATACTAGTAATCTATTTTACAATACACATCAATTTCACAGAAGGGACCCGGGGAATTTCAATTTTTTACCCAAAGTGCAAGAGAACTGTATATTACCCTTGAACAAGTCACAAGGAAATTCTACGTGCAAAATACCTTAGCTCTATTCCATGTTTTTTCTTGAATGTTTTAAATTTGTTTTTCCTATAGCTGAAGTGTATGACCCATAGGACGAGCCAATTTTGAACCTTTAAACCATAATTTACTATTATGTGTCTTTTGTAGAGTTCACAAGGTGATGTTACATACCATGTATCTAAGCGCTGTGAAATGAAATTTCTATCTGTTATCTACTTGCATCCGAATGGAACCATAATTTTATAGAGGGACACAGAAGAAACCACTTGGTGGAATTTAACCAAACTTAATGTCGTAGGGTTCTTCTTTCCTGATAAAGGTGGGGTTGTTTTGGCCTGTAATGGCACGGAAACAAAACAATTTTCTGGGCAGAAAGAAAAAGCAACACAGTTAACTTATATAGACTTGCACACATGTAAGTGTTCTTTTGTGAAACTACAATGTACGGAGCTTATGTGATAGTCTGGTGCAACTAGTTTATGCATACATATACTGGGAAATCCATTTTATAATCTGGAAAACTCCAATGCCCAGAGCATGTATTATTATTTATTAAAGAACTATCTCAAAATACATAAATCTTTCCCCTGGGATCAAGAATGTCCCAACCTTATAGACAAAACCAGTCTTAAAAATCTTCTCTATAACAAGAAGCCCCAAAGTATAGATACTAAGAATTAACTATTAAGCAAGTACAAATATTATTTATTCTCCTGGCTTCAAAACGGGCTAACCTCTTTTTTTTGGGGGGGGGGGGGGGGGGGGGGGGGGGGGCAGTGGCCAATTAGCTTCTGAACCCATATAGACATGTAGCATTGGCTTATGGAATTCTAC